GTACATATGTTCATTAACCTCGGGAAATTCGCCTAATCCAAGCATATCCGGTCCACGCGCTTTATCATCCTTTTGTCATTTAATGTCATTCATATTAATGCGCGCAATCGTTACATCAGACCCCGGACGATCGAATTATCATAATCGGCGATCCTGCGAATACCGTCGTTACGTAATTCTCTAACCACTGGAGGAAATAAAATTGTCACTTGACGCGCCGAAGAGAGGAGAATCCCAGAAAGACGCACTACCTGCACACGATATGGCAAAACCGATATAAATTATGATAAGCGCGAGATAACGCGCAGAATGAGGTTTTCCCGGGAATTTTTCGTCAGTCGATAAGTCGCCTTTTTCTCTTTTTTAGGACATTTTCACGAGACGAATAAAAAACCTCGAGGTGATGAGGAGTTAATTGGACGCCGCGTCGAAATGAAGTGCAAAGCCTCGACATCATTAGCGTTAATGAAGAGTCATTGGTAAATTCATTTCAGGGATAAATTTCTATATTACATGACATTGGGCATTTTTGTCCACCTAATGAGCTTACGATTTCACGAAAACGAAGAAAAGACCCCAAAAAAATTCACTTAATCATTGACTAAGCAATATTTTAATTAATTCCTTCTGCATCGATATTAATTATGAAAGTGTCCACGAGTACATAAAATCGCGTGCCAATTAACCCTAGACTTCCTAACCACCCTGCAAGTGACATTGTTACTAAAAGCTCGTAAAACATACGACTTTAAAATAATACGCCGATATTTTATAAAGCCGAAATATTTTTTATTCAAGTAGAAACAACTTTTTTCGCTTTAAGCGAGCAGAAAAATAAATAAGAAATGAATTCTCTCTTATTCGGCGCAACGAGGCCACGTGATCACATTACGACATATTGGCATTCTGGGAATCGCCGATAATGATTACAATTAAGTAATCCAGAGCTAAGGAAAATGAATAATCAACTGAATGTTTACTTCTATTCCTCCATACTCTGCAATCTGTATGCACATTTATTGAACATAATATATCACATCATTCTCCATAATTCCAGCTGCCATCGTATTAAAATTCACCCTGAAAAGTATCACCAAACTGCATGAAAAAAAAAAAAAAATAATACAAATATAATACAGGAATGTGATAATCATTTTCTTTTTCTCTTAACCCTTGGGCTGCTAAGAGCGCCCAAAGGCGCCCGACGTTTGGTCCAATATTGTCTGCACGGTCAGACGAATTTCGCCCATATGACGAAATGGCTCCGTGTTGAAAGGGTTAATACTGCAGCCTGTTACACGTGTCGCACGACGATAAATGAATAGGAAAAAAAAGAAATATATGAATCAACCCTAAAAAGAATCGTCAAATCTGAACTTGGGATGACATTCACGTAGATAGTCTTCAGGAGCCGAAAGATATCGCTCCATCGCCAGCCGGCGATAATTAGAGTCAGGATTTTGTTTTCCCAACTAAGGCGTCACTGATACGCTGCGAGTCTACCCAGTGATAATCGTGTACCACCGGTTAGAAGAGGAAAATCTGGACTGGGTGAGATATCGCCAGCTCTAAATGCGCCCAATGTTTCATGAAATGTCTCGCCTCGAGGTTTCTCGGAACGGCGGAGCTCGGCATAGTCGATGAAATTTACAATGCAATTACTATCGAGGATGAAAATCTCGGCTTCCTCCCTCGGGTAATAAATCCCGGGAGCGATAAGCCCGCGGTTGATAAGATACAAGAATTCAAGAATTCAGGAGCCTTTTTTCACAATCGGTTTCCTCCAATCCGCATTATCAATTGCGGTCTCGCGTGTCAAGCCACGCATTTAGAACGGTAATGACGGTCATCCTGGGCATTAAAATGCGCCGAAGTTAAAAACATGAAAGAAAGCTGCGGGAAAAATGGGGGAAAAAGTTGTAGAAAAATGAGAACACGGGGTGTCATCACCGCCTGGTAGAAGGAAAGCCGATAATTGTGATAAGTCAAGGATGATGAGAGAGATCTTTTCAACAAACACTCGGTACGTACGTCCGATTCGAACTTAATGCTGCTAGTGAGAGACCGTAATTAATCCTCGATTTAATTTCATAATATCTACTTATTTAGCGTTTCAATATTTGCGAAATCCTCGCGGTAAACTCGATTGTTCTAAGTTTTACGGTAACGTTTAATATTTATTAGGCGGCTTTGTTAAATGCTATTGTCTCGGCTGGGGTTGATTTTTGTAGGGAGGAGTTTTCAATGTGCTGTTAAATTTATGAATGACGAGTTGCGATTGTACTGACAGGGACGATATCGAGTATTTTATGGTATTGGTGAGTAGGATTTTCAACAATCTGTAAGCATTACGCTTTTCCCTTATCATTCGACACTACGAGTTTTTTCGCTCAAATGTATTTGGCTCGAAACTCTACCGAGTTTCTTGATCACCAAATTCAAGTATGGTAACGATTAGAACCATTTAAAAATCCGGATTTTCATTCGCGTGAAAAGAATGATACGTTACAAAGCATATTTTTATTATACTTTTTTTTTATTCAAATGTTTAAGATCTGCGATAATGTTACCCCTGGTACCCACACGTGTCAGGGAATTGTTACTTCTCATCTTCACGTTATATAAATAACTGTGACAAAAGAATCCCTTGAACATAGATATGTATAAGTTCTTAAATATATATATGAAATATTGTTAGATATAGAGATCCAAGTATTTGCCAAAATCGACAAATGCGACTCACTTCCTGTGCGAACGCTCTGTCTTGTTCTTGGCAAATTTCCGGATTTCCTGGTTCATTTCATATGTAGGAGATTCGAGAAAGTGGATGTAAAATCCGAATGTTTAAAATCTAGAAACTGTGTAAGTGTATGAAACATAGGGTACTAAGTATGTATTGCATATTAACACATCAATGCACATAATTACATGCATTAGATATACATTTCTTGATAATATAAAAAGTTGCTACAAGTGTCTAAAAACGTTGGGGATTCTTGTATAGAGAATTGTTTCACCTCACTTTGTAACTACTTTTCTAATACTTGCATATATGCACCACTAGAAATGCATCGCAATCGTTTTCACTTTCATCACTGAGTTCTATATTTATAGATCGATATCGATAACGTATTTACGTTATCGATGCTCTCAGGTAAGATATGGCTCAACTTCTAGTTATAGTGTTTAATAAAAAATCAACCTACGTCATATCGATTGAACGGCTTAGTCTGAAATTGCAATAACATCAAGGAACCGTCTGGCGACAATTTGCTATTCACTTTATTTCCTGGAATTTCCTTGCAATGCATAATTGCAGAAATATTGAAGAAAAGTCACAGATTTACTTATACTACCTCTGGGTGTCGAAGGCAAGCAATTCTCATGTTAAGAGTACATCACGGTTGCATTTTATGCGCATTGTTCTGATATATTCTTATCCACGTGATTACTGGACATAAAATTCATTCGTTATTCGTATTATTCACTGTTTGAATCATTAATTATTTTTTATTTGCCGATGTACTTTATTTGCAACTTCATCCTTTATTTATACCATTCCATATCTGTGCCACTTTCCCGATGACTTTATTCTCGAATATCTAATTGTAACTTGGTGTTCATATCACTGTACGGTTACGTCTCGTATGCAAAATTCATTGAATTTTCAACTATTTCTTTTACCTACATTCAATAAATATACTTTGCCAAAGGACATAATGCAAAAGATGCTTCATATTCAGTCTACGAAGTTTATAAAAATATAATGATTTCATTAATGACTTTAACATTTTAAAACATATAATTTGAGCGTCTTCTACAGCAATGCAGGTATAATTTTCAAACTATTACTTAACACCTTTACAAGGTATTGCAATTAAAAATAGATAGCAACATACTCATAAACATTTCTTAAAGAGATTATAAACTCAGTGCATCTCTTTGCTCCTGATTCTATGCTTATTACGTCGACATAAAAATCATACGCTGTACCGCACATGAAGTCTTCGGCATAGGCTTGTTTCTATATTATGAAACGACTAGTTATTTTTTCTCAAGCCTTCCTATTAATAACCTGATCGAAGAAAGAAGTAATTAAATAAACATGTTTAATCATCCATGTATAAGTAATCATAACGATGCTATGAAAGCTCAGACACGAATTTAACAAACTTGCGACAGACTTTATGTAAGGAATACAATATGTTAATGACTATCAAGGTCATCGAGAAATTCAGGAAAGCACTGAGATATAATAAAAATAAATAAATAAATATAATATTGTACCGGTATAAATCAGAGCGTAATTGTAGGCAAAATGATTAAATGAATACACGCTCACGCAACAGAAACGATTGCTTTCTTACATTCCCAAATGGCACGCTCGAGACACGTGATCGAAAAAAGGCGAAGACAGAAAATGGCAAGGTTACATACTTTCACGGAATAATCTAAAAGATCAAAACTTAAGATGAGTTTTGCATATAGACTTCTGTCTATACACTAGTAGTAAATGAACAAATTAATAAATTATTATAATTCTCCACTAAAAATTGCCTGTCCTTCGATGCTTGCTATATTATGTAATTTTATTACTCCAAAATATGATCTCATTGACGAACGACTTTTCATACCAATATGTTCAATTATTTCTATGTAAAATATCCCTGCATCGTCAACCATCATCTGGAATTAAATAAAACATGATTGGGCAGTATATTAATTGGCCGTAGGTCGAATGACGGTCCCTCGAAAATTGCCATGATTCGCCGAATCGAAAAAGAATCCCACCTTACATATCCAGCCAGTTACGCGTGTCCGGCTGATACGTAACGAAGGAAGATTCGAAACAGTAGGTGTCGAATTTCAGGGTTTAGAAGCATCAACGTATCGTGAAATAGATAGGAGGTAAATTTCACGTGACGTACACGCGGCGCCGAGGCGAGTTCGGCACTCGCCATGGGTGGATTCAGGTGCATAATTTGGCGGTTGGGACTAACCTTATCGAAAAATTGCCACCCTGCGGGTCGGCACTCGGTTATTGACGGAATGATGGAAGTTTTCGGTGACCGGATCACAAAAATGAGTCAAGAAGGCTGGCGAACGGAGGGGATCGACCGTTGGGACCAGCAGCACTTGTGTTCACGAGACAGCAGCTCTTTGCGGATAAAGACGGGAAAGATCATCCGTTTCGTCGATCGGGCACGATTAAGCTTCGCAGACGAACATTTCACGCGGTTCTGGTTAAGTCGGGACACGATCTTCGCCTCCGTTCAGACGCAGCTCGCGGCCAGGCTACGCGAAACTTCGGAAAGCCTCGGACCTTGAACGCGTCGAAGCGGCCATTACCCACCAGAGGCCGAATAAAGTTCCAGGGAGAATCGCGAGGGGCGCCACCGTCAGTCGTCGATTGCGTCGTCCGCAAAGACATCGACAAGCGAATCGTATTGACTGCTTCTCCATCGTACTCTTAAATCCCGGATTTATCGGGTCCAGATTCAGTAAATCGCATGTCTCATATTGCGTTAAGAACTTGTGTCCACGATGCTTAAGCATCAGATGGCGCCACTTAATATATATGAGTTTCTGGGACTTGTGAGTATGCTCTCAACTTATTTCTGTAACTGCTGTAACTGATTTTCATCTACGCACGATTTGGTGGGTTAACCGTGCATCATGGTTGATACCGCTTGTCACAGCTTACAATAATGCGAGCGGTAATTATTCTAGTTACAAATCTGCATTAAGAAGTCACTTTTAACGTTGGTCAGTGTACCAAGTAAAATAACGTCCACAACAGAATGCAAAAATGAGGGGATTCAACAAACTCTTCGGAACATGTATAGTGCTGCATTACCTTTGCGGCATTTGCACTACTCATTTGCTGATAAATGTAAAAAATCAGGTACAAATTCCACCTACGTTTAGTCATACACTAGTAATTGTTATAAAAGATGTAACTAATAGGAGGAATTCATTATGTTAAACACTAAGACTTTTCAAAATGGGTTAGCCCATCCATGTTAAGATATGTTCAACCAATAGTTTGTTTTTAACGTAACCTTTTAAAATGTTAGTAACGAGTAGATTATAGATAAATTCATTTATGAAACTATAATTATTAAGATTTGTAGTCATATTATTTTGGAGTATGCAGTTGCTCCGAAATTAGATGTAAAAGATAGGTTAGTTTTGTGGTTACTGTACTGTACTGTACAGATTTTGTGATTGCAATTATTTTTGTAGTAGATTGTTCTATAGGCATTACATTATTACTAAATTTTCAATGTTTTGTCAACAGGGAGGTGATATTCTTTTGGAAACAATTACGTCCAATGTCACAGAAGATATGATCACTTTGGAGTTCCAACGTTCGGATGGTACTCTAGTGACGCAACTAATTGATTTTAGAAATGTAAGTCTTTTAAAGACTACTTATTGATGTCTTACTTATTGATAATGTACATGTATTTTAGAATGGATAATTATCAAACCAAATTTTGTTCTCGTCTAGGAAGTTCAAATTATAAAAGCACTAGTTTTGGGAGAAGAAGAACGTGGTCAGAATCAGTACCAAGTTATGTGTTTTGTTAACCATTTTTACAAAATGGACTTTATATCCTCGGATGCGATGTCTAAGCTACGCCAAAAAAATCCTGGAACGATACGCATAGCAGAGGAAGATAGAGGTCATTCGAACTATACAATGGATTTGTTTTTGGATGTATCCATGTCCAAAGTCATTTCCAAGCATGTAGCATTACTCTGTGCGGAAGCAGCAGACTCAACATATACAAGACACGAAGATCTGAAACAATGGAATCAGAGACCTGGTAAGTTTTATTTATAAATGTTTTATATCATTTTTGTATAAAATCAAGCACACACACACCGCACTTGTTTCATATGTACAGGAACATTTCATATAATGTGACCAAGTACAACAAATCTTTCAATTTTCTTCTAAAATATGCAAAATTAATCACACAACTCGAAATAACAATGTTCTATCTTCACAATTGAAACATACAGTTTTTGATCATAAATTACATTAAACAATTTTCCATAATCACTAGGGTCGTCAGAAGTAGCACTTATGGCTGCAGTGCGTAACTTCACGTCTGTTGCTACAATGCCATTAGGTGTTAATGACTCAAAGTCGGTATCGATATCAAAGTGTGCTGACACATCGAATTTATGGGCATCTTGTACATGTTCTTTAGAACTTTGCATAGGTTGGTATCCCTGTGGGCTAAAATTTTGTAAAGGTAAAGGTGACAGCAAAAAAGCGCCCAGCACGTATCGATGTGGTATCAAAACGTGCAAAAAGTGTTTTATATTTTCCTACTACTCTAGAATGAAACAGAATTGTCTATGGGATGAATGACATTTCCGCACATAATAAGGCTTTTTAGATTTGATACGTTTGTGTTAGACGTAAAGCTGCATTTGCTCGATATAGATGTATGAAATTTCATATTAACAAGGGCATTTAATTATGTTATTTTAAATGTGCAGAGATTCTTGTACCAATATTTGATAACATGTCTGCGTGAATCTTAGGGAATGAAAAATATTAAGAATACTTTTTCACGGTGAAAGTAGATCAAATGCAGACCGCACATTACTAAATAGATATACCGAACTTCACGAAATAAGTTAATGTTTTTACTCAGCAAGAATTAATGTGCGAGTTGAATGGGAAGTTTTACAGTCGTACAATTCTTTTATAATTATATTTTATCCAAGATTTTACAAAGGAGTAAATTACCAAATCTTATTTTACTTCATCGTGCAGCAAAATACGTAGCTGGACAATAGGACCACATGTGCTACGTACACTTGTGCTGACCAGTATTGACCGAAGTCTTTGTCAATTAGTGTGCTAATAGTCTAGATAGTAATAATGAATTGCACTGGTCAGTTGAAAAGTCAAAAGTTCCGTATTTAGAATTGGTTCTTAGTCCTCGATGACTTTTAACAGTCTTACCGGTTTTCTTTTTAAATAGACCAAGTGCTGAATGTAATTTTCTAATTGACTCGATCTAATTTTATGACCGAAGTCCAGACTTCAAAAATCGCCCATGAATACTGTCGTGATTGTACTTAGGAGCGATCTCATTGTCGTCTGAATGGATGTATTTGTAATAATAGGATATCGTTTGGAAGAATCAGGAGGAAAAGAATTTAAAAAAAATACTTCTTGTCGAAGGAAACATTCCAAAACACCCAGTGTGTATTTACACTTTTGATAATGTACGAGTCTTCAGTACATACATTTCTCTACTTGAATTTACCATAACACGAGACTTTACACAAAGAAACGATTTCCATGGATGTACATAAAACTTGCCCATGAATTTTAAACCTACCACAATGAGCGTGTTTTTATCTTTACATTTCTTATCGTAAGCGTTTTAACCTTTCCATATCTTGTAAAATTGATAAGTTGTGGGCCAATCGTCATTCGTTACTAGAAAACCATTCCACGTTTAATTTTCTTTAAAGTATTACTTATTCTTGGATCATAAACACGTAATCTAAAAATGATATTACGAATCGTCCATTTTAGACAATTGTGCTACACTCTGCGTGCGGCTATATCGACTTGTTGAAAACATGGTACGATAATACAAATAATCATGACTCAATACGCTGCCACATTGTATACGTATATTCCGTTTCAATTGTACATAATGTTAAGGCTTTGCACTCGAGTGGTGTCTGTAAGACATCATACCTGTAAGGTATAATAGATTATGATATTAATTCGAGTGCAAAAGGGCCGAATATATTTTCGACAAATGTCGAGTACCGTGCGTACGAACAACCGGTAGCTAATGATAAGTAAGACGTTAATCTTGTACAGCGTAATTAGTAAATGTTTACGAAGGGGGTGGACACAGTCCAAGAGTCAAAGATCGGCGTCGCTTGCATAATTTCATTTACATGTGGACCTAGGTGTATGTATATAAATATTATATCAATTATCATCGGGGGAGAGAGATGTTTTTTAGCGGGCCATCTTACAAAAGACTGCGAAATCTGTCCATTTAATGCTAAAAATATCGACAAGCGGTTAATGAGTCCTGCTAAAATCAAATCGACGGAACGAACGTCACGGTCGCTGCTCTCTGTGCTTCCTTACGAGAAATAGTCTTTACCGATAAGAAATGTCTTATTAATTTAACAATTTATGGGGGAAACGGTAGATCGGGATTCAGCTATGCTTAACGACTCATCGTACGAATTAATTCTTCAAAAGCCGTTCGGACATTTCTAACCGAGATTAGGAAGTTCGTCGAAGGTGCTTTGTAAGGCTAATTGCGAGATTTCATTTCTTAACAGTGAACACCGAGATAAACAATTGGTACGATGACCGATTGATGGACAGAAGAACATTTAAGGGATATTTTGATGCTTTCTTTAAAATGACGTGTGTTTTATGTCGCATCTTACCGTGTCAGTCTTTACAATCAGCACAAATTTTATTCTAGTTCGTAGAGAATATGTTTATTGGCCGTGAATATGTATTTTACATCTCAGTGGAGTAATCGGTTTTTTATTCCAACATTTTACCCGAGTGAAGGATTTTTTAATACTTGAGTAATTTGTATATTAAGCAAATATTTTAATACATGTCCGTCGTGTAGCATGTAATATAGTATGTCCATTAATCAAGTGTATTTAAAAGTGCACTTGTCAATACGAATTGTTAACATTTAACGAGGGCTGGGATCTTTACAGTCGTTTCGGGTTCGAAGAAATGAATTTCTCGTTATTCACGAGGCAGCTTTACAGTAGCAAATTAAATAAATAATGAGAGATCATTGTAATCCTGGAGAATGCTCCGGTAGATAGGCAGCTATCGTTTTCTATCGTGCCTTTGGTGCTACAGTCTCTCGTTATCCAGTGAAGCTTTTCAAGCGGAATGTATTGTAAAAATGTATTTCAGAATTGTACAGAAATAGAGCTAGAGGTGTTCTCTCTGTGTAAGCAATTTGCTCAATTGCTGGCGACAATTGAGTAAATCCCAGTGGTGAGACGATTTGCCGGCCGATTTCGATTCCGTCAATTCTCAAACTCGACGTGTCGTCGTTGCTTGATGTTAATTGTCATTGTTAAGAAATGAAATTTAAACGGTCCTCCTCGAGGTAGCGTTGTATGTACGAATGCATTCGTCTCTGCGAACGCTAGCCGGATGGTAATTCGTTGATCAAAGATACATGCGAGTCAATATGTTATAATTAAATATAATAATTCAAGCCCTGACTATAATGACTAATGTATAGGGATAGCAATACCTATGTATATGTATATACGTACGTACGCGACATGGGAAATAGGCTAAGAGTCATACGCGACCACGATACCACTGCGTTTCTCTTCTTTTTTTTTTAACAACAATGGGTGGACATTTTAACCCCCTAATTTTAGACATTTCGAAACGTTATCATATCATGGGTTTTTATTGTAGCGTGTTTTTTTTTTTAAATCTTTCCATCAGGGAGCTGGCCGATACATTGTACGCGGATTTTATTTCGATATGAGGAGTCCATTTAACAGCTGTTAATTATGGAGCTATTAAAATACGTAACTATACGTAAATCAAAGGGAAATAATAATAGATGTTACCTGCTATTCTAGCAGCTAAGGTGAAACATAATTTACGAATCGGTGCACGAGTTCGTGTGACGTTTGCGCGAATCTATGACACTGTACAATCGAATTTTCTTTTTAATTTCCGTGACACTTCAAAGTTTAGATAGAAATCGAATGACAGAAGGAAATGTGAAAGAGAGAAATCTATAATAGCGGTATTAAATATTTAATATTTGGCTGGAGTATATATATATACGTACCGCAAAGTGTTATCAGAACAAGAGCTGCTAGTTTGTACTACAGCTCTAAAGGGTTTCGAACAAGACGATACTTGACGTAAGCGTAATTGTAATACCACGGTATAATTTGTGCTTTACACATGATGTTGTAATTATATACATATTTTTTATATATATTTAATAAAAACTATGATCCCAAGTTGATTGCCATTAATCCCTATCGCTTGGGATGAAAATGAATTTTAATGAAAGTCTTCGTTCTTACAGTATATGAAATGTTCTAAACCTTCTTCGCATGAAATAAATGCGGGCTTAGAATTTCCCGTATATTGAATAAATAAACGAAGGAGGATGGTAATTATTGTTAAGCTTTCCATATTCAGTACCTACCTTTGATGTTGCGGGATTGATGGTTATTTAGATATAGAATTTAATACACGTTTACGTTAGCATTTTTCAACCATTCATATTATTTATAAAGTCCCTAAATATTTGCAAACTCTCAAGTACCTATGAACTCTCTGCGATGGAAAATAAAAAATTTAGAGATTTTTATTAAGAAAATTTGTCCTGCGATTTGGGCACTTCTATACAGGCTGTAGAGAAATGTATCGACAATAGTATTGAACGACAATGATTATGAAATTATCATCACGGTTTGTATGCCACAATTCCGCGTAATGTTTAATAATGTAATTTATTCCGTGATATAATAATCATTGCAAAAATACTTTGCTATCGCAAGGATATCTGGAAATTTCAATCGGGAAGCTGCAATGAGTTTTACGGTGCGTGTTAAAATATATGAAACGCTTCGACATTTCCGTCTGAACGATTTAAACCGTACTAGGGGGGCGATGGGCAAATGTTGTACGTAAAATTAACATCATGTATTTTCCAAACGTGGACGTACCACAAAGTACAATCGTGTACAGTGTCGGGGAACGCGGTACGAGGCGTTCCCTAAGCCGCACGCTATAATACAAACGAATTTTGATTGGTACATAAAAATGGATTTCTAGCTCTACGAGACAGAGACGAAAGGTAGAGGGGTTGCTTTCTTATTATCGGCGATAGAGTGTCTAGGAAGTAATAATCTTAACGGTACGAAGCACGGGGGGATCCTACATCGGGAATGTACATTTAAAACGAATCTCCTTATTGCGTGCTCAGGAAAGGTGTAGTAAAAGTGAAAAAGGAATAAAAATATAACAGTAATAATTTAGTACTTCCTCGCGTCTCTTACGCGCGACGTCTAAGTACCAGCAGTCTAACTCGCATTCAACTCCGAAGGCACGACCCTTCGATGTACTTTGATTAAGTGATACATTAACGCTAAACTTTGATCGTTACTTTCCCTAGGTATCGCTACGCCCTATATGCGTTAATGAACTTCTAAACCTGACATTCTATGAGACCTCGGGTCGTCTTTATCGTCTACTGCCGATGGATTTTAAAAACTGATTGAATTCCACATTAAAAGCTTTCCGACTTTGTCGACACCTTTAAGCTTTCCAGAAACGTATCTTTAAATTTATTAGAGATTCATCCTCCGGTCTCGGCAGCTGTGCCTTGAAACGTTAAGCAACATTTTAACGATTCGGCTTTTATGTAATACCAAACATTTCTGTGGATAGTAGATATTTCGTTTTAGAGGTTTCTATTCGCTGAAAATTCGTCACTTTCCACATCGTTACATTTTTGTCAGAGCTTTCTAATAGATTCACTTTGTCTTTGTGCCTTGGAATGTTAAGTAACATTTTAACGATTCGGCCTTTATGTAATGCTAAACATTTCTATAGATAGTAGATATTTCTATTTAGAGGTTTCTTCGCTGGAAATTCGTTATTTTCCACATCGTTACATTTTCGTGAGAGCTTTCTGATAGATTCACTTTGTCTTTGTGACACGATATGACAATAAAAAAGTGGAGTTGATCGAAAGACTAACGTGTTCGATGTAGTCGTATTTAGTAAAAATCGCATTATCGGCAGAAAACTGGATCGACGGAAGCCTCTCTGAGTACCAAGACCATGATCACTTACCCATGAAACACTCTACAATCAACAAATATCTTCAAATACCTCGTATAGAAAAGCATTGTTCCAAAAAAAAAAATCCACGGGTCAAACGAACCGTGAAAGTGTTTTAGGCTACTATGGAGTGATTACTGAAAGAATAATTGAGAAATGATCAAGCAACATTAAACGCGTTTAAAAAAAAAAAAAAAAATAAATAAATATACCAGGAAGAAAGACCAATTTGCACGATCGGATTACATGATTTTTTTGATTGATCGATTAGTAGATTGCCATAATATCAATTCAATTTATAACATCAATATTCAAAGGAAGGAACGAATGCCCGCGCCGAGAATGAATTTTAATTACATCTGCTTTACGTCTCCCAAGAGTCGTGGATAAAATCCTTACGCCCCTCAAGACAATATGAAAAACAAAATAGACAGAAATGGATTAACCCGATTAGATCTATCGCTTCTCAATTGGATTCGGTATATACAATGAGATCTCAAGTGTTAAGACTTCGCTCTACTTCCCGCTCTCTTCCTTTTCCCACCTCTTCGTCCCATTTCCCTGGTCTACAAACAAAGCGAGGTTTCCGACATAATTTCCATTAATTAAGAACAATACCGTACAACAATCGGGGGGAGCGATACAATTGAGTCTTCTAAATAATTAACCCGGCTCGCGGACGTCAGGGTACCTGTCGATAAATCTCCCGGAAGTCGAGGGAATCCGCCCGAGACACCTTCCATACCTAATCACGATGTCGAGTGTTACATGGGTACACCAAAACGCAAGTATGTACAGCGTTTAACTGAAATTACGTAATATTGTCGGTGATTTCAGTGCGGGGGCCGCCGAGGGACGTCACCGGTGAGCCGCGTAAACGTTTCCGCATAACCGACGAACGCGTAAATCATCACGGGGGCGAAATAGCTATCGATTACACCCAGTGGGACCTCACTAACTGCTGAAACACGTCTTGCGAACGTCAGCCAGAATCACACTAAAGTCATCGTCAGGCTTAGTCACGTGTTCCAAGTTCTGGGCCTGTTGGGATTGTTGTTGCTGTTGGTGCTGCTGCTGTTGTTGCTGATGATGCTCCTGGTACTTGGAGACATCCATGCTCTGGTGGTACTGATCCATGTTGTGGCCCATTCCCACGTTGCATTGGTTCTCTTTGCTCTGGTCCTCCACTATGCACTGAGTACTCGACAGGTCTAATTGGGTCTGTTGAGGCGCGTAGTACCGCAAATCGCTCGCGTAATTGTGATTGCTGTCCAGTAGGCTTTGGGATGTCAGGCTCGAATGCGCCACGCTGGTCGGATGCGAGTACTTGAAGTACTTTTCTAGCTGCAGGGCTTGCTCTTGCTCTTCCTCGGTCATCCCTGGGTCCAGGTGACCCATCACCACCTGTTGCTGACCTGGACCCGAGTCCGGCTGGTACTCCTGGTGATGTGGCATCTGGTACCTGTGGGACACACCTAGGACAGATAGAGACACGTTTTAATCGTGAATAGGTGCTCTCGCACGCAAGGATTAGATAGAGATACCTTTTAATAATGAACTGGCGATGAGAAAGTGACGACACGGAAGTCTCGTTTATGAAACTTTCCTATGAACTGGGTGCATCGAAGCGCTTCAAAGCTTACAACGTGTATATGGATGTCGTAAGAAAGGTTCTGACACCCATAACGTTTCAATTCTTTATGTTTGTTTATAGATATTTTCAAAATTCTGTATAAAAAATGGAATTTCATGAAGGTCAGTACCTTCTTTGTAGCCTTCACGTTCACGTTGAAAAGTTTGAAACGATTCGGTACACCCAGTTCGTAGGAAAGTTTCATAAACAATTGATCTTTCGGATGCCACTTTCACATCTTCTTAAACGATGATTCTTAAAAATGATGTTAAAAGTGAAATTCTGAAGAATTAGGATTTCTTGACCTGCCTTATATTTTTTACAAGCCAACGGATAAAGAGGTTGATTTATCAGAGCTTATTCAAAAGTCAGATATAGTAAACTATATGTGAAATTTCATTTTAAAATGGAGATAAGTACGTTCAGAAGTAGGGAGATTTAAGCACAATTTTAAAGAAATGTATAATTGTTGGCTTTCAAGAGAACAAGGCATTGCGAATAATATTCTCCTTTCTGTATGGGTTAGTAATAGTAGTACTTGAGATAAATATCAATTATGTTGATATTAAACGTTGTAATTACCGGAACAACCCTCTACTGCGGCTCTCATCCCGATAGACTGTTGTCTGTTGCTACAGGGGTTGTAATTTCCCTCAACGTTAGACTGCATCGAATAATTAGCTGACTTTGTCGATTGGGAACCGGTGGAATAATGTATGGATTGATCATGAGGGGACGCAACAGGTGGGTAAAAGGTGCCGGTGACGGATCCGACATTTTCGAAGCCAGAGCGCAATTTATTGCACGAAACCATCATGCCATTTGCTATGCCGACTGCTGCTATGCTGGAGCTTTGCCTCTCAAAGTTTAAATATCCCACCTGATTGTAAGAAAAAAATTAATTATCAGGTATTATTACACGATAACAGGGAATACCTTAAAACTATAATGCCCAATGTATGAGGACATTGAGAGATCCAACGAAAGATAATTGAAGCTAGATACAAAAATCATATTTTTGTAAGGCATCCTGTTATTTCAGAAATTTATTAGATTATTTAGATCATTGAAATACTTTTTTGTTACTGGACATATTCAAGGAATAGACTTGCTTGTTAGATGGACGTACCACCCGCCATTTGGTCCCTGAATTTACTATGTGTGTACACCCATTTTGTTTCAATTTATCTGAACCTTTGTTTTGCTAATCGAACATGACAATGTTCACGTTGATAAGACTTAGGAAAATGTTTAGTAGAAGTCTTCCCAGTATAGTCCATTATGGTCAGGAAATAGGAAACAAAGGGTCTCACTTACTGACTTCTTGTAAGTCAAGGTATCCGTATAACCGCCTGTATTTTGACAGGATGATATACTTGTACCGCTGTGTCCAGGATGTAATTGGCCATCGGCATTCATGAAACTATAACGTTTCGCTTGTTCGTTCATTTCCCCGTGTTGCTTGGACGTGCCTTCCATAAGGTCCCTTTCGGGATCCGGATTTTGGGATGAAGGAAGACGCGTTCCATCGCCTGGAATAATTTTTCGCACTATTTTCAATCTTACCTTAAGATATATACTTACTGCCAAATTGTCAATTGATAATTTAAAATTAAAGTTTGATTGGTGTAGAGAAACAAATACACGATTTAGATGCATGTAATTCCCGAGCTCATGTAAAATGAGTGGTTCATTAAAATATTTGCTACGTGTATTTATAAATTCGTAAGTAATCAGAAAGTGCAATCAAACGTTTGAATTTCTTATGAAATCTTTCATACAATTATTTATACATTTATCTTATAAATTCTATCGTTTTCATCGTAAATTTTCCGCAAATAGAAGAAGGCCCTCTCGTTTTTACCATTTCGTCATTCTTTTTCAGTTAAAAGACAGGATTGTGTAAACTAGGGAAAATGTATCGGCAATGAATATGGAAATGAAATCTCGAATTGATTGGTTTCGCGTCAATATCTGAGACCAAGTTATATAACTTTGACATCGTAAGATTGTAGGTAACGAGCAATGAACAAAAACAATTGTACATTTATTGTAGAATGCGTTCATCGCGATATTTCATCAACTAAAAACTTATTCTTCGCGTCAGGGAAAATCTATCCATGAAAAATGTAGATGAAATCTTGAATTGATTGGTTTCGCGTCAATATCTGAGATCAAGTTTCGCTTTGACATCGCAAGGTGGTAGGTAGCGAGTTAGCAGTGAGCACATGCGATTGCACATTGACCGTGGAATTGAGTTCAAATGCCACGTAAATAATGCGGTATATCGCGGCGAAGTGGCTCGTTCCAGAGCATATCGCACGTGAGGTGTATTTTTTCACCTCAATCGGGCGCACCGTGAATGAGCTTAAAACTTAAGGGAGAAAAGGTCCGTCTCGAAAACCTTATCGATTAGAATTACGGCGCAATTACTGTATACGTGTTACTTTTTTATTCATTTACCATCCGGTTCCGGGCTGGCGACCGGAGATATATCCGGCGTATGAATAATCGGCGTATATGGGCTGCCGTAAAGAGAATTGTTTTCCGATTTGTACTCCTGAATGCTCTGTTGCTGTTGATGGTATAAAGATGACATCGGCGAGTGGCCGCCCCATGGGATCTGGGGGATTCCTTGGAAACTGTCCATTTTGGACCTGCAAAGAATATCGATGCCTCATTCTACAAGTCGAACGTCACTAAACGCTTCTACTCCTCGGTTCTTAAATCTCTACTCCAGGAATGAACAAGAAATTAAACGAAAATTACTATATTAATTATCTGAGCTGTGACGTGTACGTTTGCAAGCCTACCGGATGTCCTCACAAAGACGCGTACAAGTTTAGTAAAATTGTCAATTCTCCGGGAAGATTTTCTAAATCCCTATTACCGGGGAATAAAGGCCTTCAATTTGAGATTATTTATATTTTCTGCGAATTCCTCCCTGAAGCGAACCTTCCATTTTTTTAATCCCATCTTTCGATAATTCCAAAACCGACAATACCGCCTATGTAGCATATCTAACTCCACCAAGATTCGATTCGCACACGGAGAAGAAAGATTAGTTGACTGAAAGAAATATGTATGGTTGACATATATACTGTCACCTGAATCACATATAATGACGGAAAACGATTATTTCGTTGCGAAAAGAAATTACCCCGTTGATTCAAAGTAATTTCCTTCACTCTTACTGACATTTCTCTGGGCGCATTTGATCGCCGGATTTTGTTGTACCGACGCATATTACTTTCAGTCAACCATTTCTTTTTTCCTCAGTGCAGGATGAAAATAAATACATATATAAATAAATATTCCCCCACGTAACTAGGTTTGCTAAAGATCAATTTTTTTAACCCGATTCGAAAGAGGCAGGGCCTGAAGACCTCCTTCTGTCTCCAGTGGCGGTCTTTTAGCCGATTCACCGCGCACGGGAATTAGCATAATAATTAAAGGCAAAACGAGCCCGGCTCTATTTTCGTCCCGTCGTATCCCATCGTCTGGGATAAACAGGATCGTGCAACAAGGTGGGACTGCGATCGTGTCTCTAGGTGGATAAAAATTCGCCGATTCATTAATGGGCGTCTCTCGGGTACACGTTTACACCGACGTGGATCAACGCAATCCCGTCCATCAAGGCTAAACTCTGGCGATGACTTACATGGAATGATGAATCGTAGCTCCGGCAGGATTGGACCTACCGGTTGCTGCATTTGTCGCCGAGGGTGGCGAAGATGGAGCCCCGGGGGCTCGTTTCGCGTGTTTTCTGCGCCGAGGCCGGTACTTGTAGTTAGGGTGTTCCTGCATGTGTATGACCCTCAGCCTCTCGGCCTCCTCTACGTAAGGTCTTCTGTCCTGTGGCGTAAGACCTCGCCATTTTTTCCCTAAAGAAAGGATTCATAACAGCCCGTTATTACAGGTGTTTAAGGCTAAACAACCCCCCTGGGGCACTACGTCTGACACGGTTGCTGCTAAAGTCGACGCGTCAGGATTCCATTTTTTACCACTCTTCTAGGATAGGTCAAGGATGAGGCTTTATTAACTTTTTTTTTATCGAGGGGATGTGAAAGTGGCAGGATTTCATTTTTACCACTCTTCTAGGATAGGTCAAGGATGAGGCTTTATGAACATTTTTGTTATTAAGGGGATGTGAACATGGCATCTGGGAATCAAACGTTCATGAAACATTTTTTCGAACTGGGTGTGCCGAATCGTTCCACACTTTACGATGTGAATGTGGAGGTTATAAGGAAGGTCCTGACACTCGTGAAATTTTATTTTTTACAAGAAATTTTAAAGATATCTATGAACAGATTTTTAAAAAATTGAAATTTGGGAGTTTCAAGTCCTTCCTTATACCCTTCACATTTATATTGTGAAGTTTGAATTGATTCACTACACCCAGGTTGAAGATAAGTTTCATGGACGAGAACTCTTTGACGCTACTTTCGCATCACCTTGACATTATGTGACTGACGGGACTTGAATATTGGGAATTCTCGATTCAGATGATGGGAGTGTGAAATAATTTTAGTTGTAGTGGTGAATAATATTTCATATTTCTTTGTAAAGAGACAGGACTTTGAGGTGATCAAGGAAAGATCACGATTGATTAATGATCACCACAGTCCATGTCGGGGAAAATAGTAAATAAAGAAAGGATCGTGGTTTAGACCAGTGGAAAAAGTTGAATTCGTGGATTTAATAAATATTGGGTAGTTTATCAATTATAATACTCTATAGAAAGATTGGTCCTATTTCGATGAGTTGTTTAAGGATGGGAAAGAGGTGATGCTATTTTTTATCGGGACTTGAAAGTTTTATTTAGAAACAAGACCACTTTAATTTGGAACAATGAAACATGTAATTGTGCTCACCGTGTATTCTGTGTTCCAATGCAAGCGTTAAAAGAGAAGAAAAATTACATGGAATGTTAAATAAATCTGTTTCCAGCTGTTATTTAATTAGCAGGAATTTAATTAGCTAGGATTTAATTAACAGGAATACTTAAGTTTGCAAGGTAGATCTTATCAACTTTGGTTTGGTTAGCTTTCTAGCTACATAATAAATATTAGTTAATTAAAACGGCTCGCCTAGATTTATTGAATCGTGTCTTCAAATAGACCTTGCATCGCATAAAACATATGAGACCCTGGCGAAATGACATACGCAATTGCAAAGCCACTTAAACATTTCTCATTTAAATAATTCGAGGTTCGTTCCAAGTACATTTTATAATATCCGCACCAAGGGCACCTAACAATCGCCTGTACCACATATACTGGTAACCTGGTAAAAATTGAAAACGGATATACCACTTCATATGCGTACCAAGTACCTCGGTGCAAACTAGGCCAATAAATTATCGAACGCGATACTCGGTACTGTACCACGGTATATTCTTAGGTTTGCACGGCTGAGGCAAAGAAAAGCAAGAAGAAACGCAAAAGTAACGATCCATAACAATACTGCAGGACAAAAAATCTAAAACGCATACACTCCAGGCAATCTTATGTTATTTTCATTGAAATACTGTCCGTTTCTACGAGTCACCACTTAATTGTCAACAATATGCGAAACACAATTACACCTAGATAGACGTTAACATCGTAATTTAGCACAGTCTATTAAATAACCATAAACGTAATCGCGTTCGTGTTGCAAAGATTCAGTCATTTTGGGTGTAATAACTATTATTACATCTTACGTCTTAATATAAACTCTTTCCACTCAATTTGTACAATGGTTTTAGTTTACCAATGTATAGTTGACTCTACTTTCTATCACTAAGTATTTTTATCGATTCACAATTATTATTATATAACCACTCACAGAGTTACAGTTTACACCCCAGCATCTCGAGTTTGATCTCCACAATGAAACCTTCGCCATTATGAAATAATTCCAGGCGAAATGCATACACAAAATGTATGCATAAAATATTATTCAATACATGCCTGGATTTAGAATCGCTATTAAATTTCTCATTTCGAGAGTTTTACCGGAACGAGGTACGTAGGAAGAAAACCGACCTCGTAATCTCACAATTATTATTACACAACTGCATAACAGAGCTTCCGATTTCACCCCCATCAGCTCCAGTTCGATGCCCACGATCAGACTTTCGCCATTATTAAATAATTCCATACGAAATATATACACAAATAAATATGTTCATTAAACTCTCATCATCTAGCAGCACTTTTGAATCTCACATTTTGGGATTTTAACCGAATCGAGGGTCGCAGAAAGAAACCGGTGCCTCGAAATCGGCCTCGAAGTCGACCTCGTCGTCCGGTGCACTTGGGGGTTACCACGGTGCAATGCAGGATGCAAGTCCACGGTAGAGCGGAATATCATTACGAGGGTAAGGGTTAATGCGTACGTAAGATGTTCGCGACAAGGCCTAAAAAGTAAGTAAGGCGAACGCACACGGGGTCTCACGCGAGCGCAAGTGCTCGAGGTACTCGTACGTACTGTGAGGTACCCTCGGGTACCCTCGGGTACTCGTAGGTACATTTAGCTCGGTGGCCCGCGTTACAAGCGTCGGGACGTGCGTGCGTACCGGTGCATATATGTACGTATAAAATATATTAGCCGAGGGCCCTGTGTGCCCTGGATGTGTATGTACACGCGAGAGCCGAGTATATACACGGGTACATAGGCATGGGGGCGTAGATATGGGTGCGCCCGCGCCCGTGCCTTCTACCAGCCACGGGCACGGACCATTATTTCATATTTCATTTTGTGATTTCAACTCCGGAGGAGATTGCCAACCTAAAGGCTCTTTCCAAGGGAGAAAAAAAAACCCGGGCCGAGAGAGAGAGAGAGAGAGAGAGAGAGAGAGAGAGAGAGGAAGAGGCCCTCCTTCTCGTTTCCACCTACAAGCACTCTTGTCGCCCCGCGTTTCTTTCCGAGTCCTCTTCCCTCCTCTCTTTCTCTCCCGTCTCTCTCCTACGTGGAAACACTCGCGTAAGTCGCGCCTCGTTTCCGCTTCTCGCTTCCTCTTTCCTTCTGTTGGTCCTTAAACATCTTCCCCCGGTACCTAAATTTTCGGTCGGAAGAGGTCAATTTAGTATCCCATTCCTTCACGTTTCGTTACGTGGCTTTAACTCAGGGCACCGCGTTATAATGGCCACGAAATAAAGATCTCGTTCAAAGAAGGAAGGAAGAGAATCCTTCTCCTTTCCACTCGGGTTTTTTTTTTCTTCACTTCATTCTTTCTCCCCTTTCTTCTTTATTTCCATCCATTTTGCATTTAACGGCGCTCGCATAAGTCGCGCCTTTTTTGCCTTTTATTTATGCCTCGTTTAATCTCTTCTTCTTTATCCGTTTCTTATCCCTTCCCTTCTCTCGCCCTCGATTCCGTCTCTCGACTCCGCCGGCATATTTCCCGGCGCGCGTCTTTTCGGGGCTAAGTAGATTTAATTTAATATTCCCGCGCGGGGCCGAGACTACTACGTGATTCATCGCATCACCCGCGCCTTCTCCGGCGAGCGTCCCGCGCCCTCGCGGTGTCCTCGTTAAGTATTCTAATGGCCGGCCCTGTCCCTTTAATTTAGCCGCGGGCCCACGCGCCGGACATCTTCATTAATTAGCAGCCTTTCGGAACGGGAAGAGGAAGTCGACCCTGAATCCTTTACTGGGTTGCGGCTTGTCGTTCTACACGTATTTATCGGGAAGGAAGGTGTTTTAGGAGCCTTTAACGATCACCGATTTCTTTTCGAAATAATAGCATAATTTCGCGTGCACCATATTTGATAAAATGAAAAATAATTTGTAATAGCATCTGAGGGAAAAGCAATACGGGTCGCAAGACGCATTATATGTATATTTCTTTTAAAAGAAAAATGTACGACCTGAAACGTTCAAAATCCTAGTGGCAACTTTTATTGCCACGTGGAGCTCGCAGTAGACATTGAAAAGCATTTAACGCTTATTTACAAGATTTACGAGCCTATGTTCGCGTAAAAATATAAATAATAGGTTTTGAACTTGTAAACAAAAATATATTTCATAATTGCTGGGACCAAAAGATACGGTCAAGAAAGACTCGTTATAGGGAAAGGTGTTTCAGGAGCCTTTACCTATCACCAATTTCGTTTCGAAATAACGACATAATTTCGAGTGCGTCATATTTGATAAAGTGAAAAATAATCTCTAATAGCATCTAAAGGAAGATTGATATAGGTCGCGAGAGAAATCTCATATTTCTGTTAAAAGAAAAGTGTATAACCTAAAACGTTCAAAATCCTAGTGGCAACTTTTATTGCCACGTGGAGCTTGCAGTAGACATTGAAAAGCATTTAACGCTTATTTACAAGATTTACGAGCCTATGTTCGCGTAAAAATATAAATAATAGGTTTTGAACTTGTAAACAAAAATATAATTACGTCGGGATTTCATAATTGCTGGGACCCGAAGATACGGTAAAGAAAGACTCGTTATAAAGCACAACTTCCACGTGGATAATAAGAGGCAAGCGTGCGTTTACCAGTCTTTCAGCGAGATTACGCGTGGCGGACTCGTAATTTATTAACAATCACCGTATCTGATGAAACCGATGAAATATTGAGCTCCGCGTTACGCGCCTCGGCGTGTGTGAACCTATTTACAAAAACTCCCGACTGGGGTATTATCGATGACCTATACGTGGAAGATAGCGAAAGTTATGATAGCAATATGTACCGATAATGTGGTACAGACCAGCGGCACAGGTTGTTCGGCAACCTCGGGGCGATAATTAACGATTAGTAATTAATGCCCGGACATAAGGTACGTTCTACAAGATGAATGGCGTCTACGCGTTTACTTGTTCTGGGTGGAGGGATAGGATGAAGATTCATACCGCTCTCCCTAGGAACCTTTTTCCTTCCCTTCCAT